ACGATACTGTCAATAAACGAGATAAACCTTGGTAACTATGGATTTAGTGCCTGTTGAGTAAACCTTGGCAACGATGGATTTCGTGCCTATTCCTTAGGATAATCCTTAGGAATGAATGAACGAGGAATAGCTGATTCTTAGGGTAGATCCTTAAGAGTAAAGAAGATAATGGGGATGGGTAATTGGGTTGATTGTTTGATGTTTAAACATAATAATTATATTATTGTGGGTTGAAAACCCTATGTACTCACCAGGTTTCCCAACCTGACCCACTCAGTTTATTTGTATCACAGGTGTCGATATGAAGTTACATTACACTGAGAGATTAAGGAGATATAAATCACTAGTGATAATGAATGTAAGTTTTGTTTATGCTTATGTTTCTGTATTGACGATGACATCCCAAATGTTTTAAAATGAATAAAAATACATTTCTTCATAAATGCTTTGATAACGTATTTATCATGTTTTACTAGGAACAAATTCCGCAACATTTTTATTAAAAGAAGTACTCTGATTTTTATAAAGCATAAACAAAATCAGTCTTTTATGGCCGTGAAAATGGGGATGTCACATGCTATAGACGTTTTGTGTTGGTGTTTGTTGAGGGAGAAAGAAAGTTGGTATTTTCTCAACTATTGGCAGTGTTAATGCTTGCGGTTGTGGTGTTAGAAGTGGGTTATGTTAGGTGAATGATGTTTGGGTGAACGGTGGTGACATTGGAGGAGGTATATTTTTTTGTTGTTTGTTGGCATAACCACCAGAGGTATTGTTGCACTTAAGATTGGGGTTGGTCTGGGTGGATGGAGTAAGAAATTTGGTAAGGGTGATGTGGATGGAGTAAGAAATTTGGTAAGGGTGTCGGAGATCCACATCTCACTGATCGGAGTAACAAATTCTGTTCGAACGACGGTTGAAGATGTTGGGATTGTATATGTTGGAGATGGTGCCGAGGGTGTCACCGGAGTAAGAATAAGCTCTAGTGACGACATTGAACGGATAGGGCACCTAGGTACTTCGTTACCTTCGTCGGTTGGCTCATTGTCCATCTTTTAAGGATAGTGTGATGTGTGGTTTTTAGTATCAGTTTTTACACACCGGATGACGCCAAATGATGTGACTCGGATCTTTAGGAGGTATTCGCGACTGTTGCTATGGTGGGGATCTGGAAGATCACACCATAAAACAATTTGTCAGTCGTTTTCCGGGAGGAGGACCCGAGAAAACGCTCGGACGGTCAAGTTAACGACATAAGAGAGTGGTTGTAGATAGAGTATGAGTGTGTGTGTGTGTGTGTGTGATAGAGGGGGAGCTTATCTTTTTGGTGTACGGGGGAGACCTTTTATAGTTGGGCCTCACAATCAGTCCATACAATAGACAAGGGCGTCAGACCCGAGAAGGATCAGATACGTTGATTGAATGATCATGCTCTTCTCTGTGTTAGAGCTTGTGATTGACTCAGGCGGTAATGCTTTGAGCATTACCTTTGTCGCCTGGAGCCATTGCCTTTTTTTCGCAAGGAGATTGTGCTTGTTAGTGCAGAGTAAACGTCCGTGGACACAAAGCACGACTGCTCGCGAGCTGTTGCAGGGAAGATTCTAAGTGACCTGGCGGTCGCGAGAGTAATGTTGGAGGGTGGACCAGTGTCCCTTGGCCCGAGCCAAGTGAGACATTATCATATGATATGTGGTATTTTGGGGAACTCATTAAGCTTTATGCTTACGATTTTAAGTTTTAAATGTTCAGGTTGTTCTGGTAGCAATGGAAAAGGAGAGGCTTGATTGCATCACATCCATGAGAGATTTTCGCATTTTATGGTTTTTTGTTTTATTACTCTGATATTCAGTTTTTGAATCGACAAACTTATACTTTGATTAGCTACTTATCTTGGAATGAAATCTATATGGTTTTATTACTTTTAAAAATGTTTTTTTTTTAAATTTGTGACATTACACTATCACAAACATTCAACACATAGTTGTTTCACACAAGTATAAAACATGTAAACGAGTGAAGACTCACATGATGCTTGATGGAACGTTTGAAAACAAATAAATAAGTTTGCACTCTCCTAGGAGTATCAAACTACACACAATAACATTTCTCACACTCTAGCCCAACCAACTATCTAAAATTTATAAAAGTTTTATTTTAACAAGTCATGCAATTTTGCTCACTACACAACCCTCTGACCCATTTTAATCCATCCTAAACTCATTTCCATTGAAGGGGTTTGATATGTTATTGTAGTTCCAAATCTTAGGCTTTTAGAAATATATGGAACTGATTCTAACGATTTTTTTTTTACAATTTATGGTGATTTTTATAAAACTGCATATACGACCATATCATTTTCGGACCGATATGTGGAAATCGCTAACTTGACCATCGTTAGAGTCGTTTCCAGGTTTTTTCGTAAACTAACGAAATGTATGAAACTCAATTTGTAAACTTCTCCCACCGGTTTCAATTAAAAAGTATTTTTATGGAATTAGTTATGAATATATGAAAACAATGACAAATTGCATAATTTTTACAACAACAATAAATCATCATCAATTGATTATAGATTAATCACCAATGATGTTATTTTTGAATCCAACAACTTAGAAGACCAACCAAAACACCGTACCTTAGGAATATCAAACACACCCACCCCAAACACCATGATGGCGGCGACAACGGTGGCTATCGTTGACCATAACGATGACGGTGGTGATTTATGGCTCAAAACACAAAACAAAGTGTAGAACTCACCTAGGATTTAATCATATGCGAAACAAAAAAAAATCCTCTTCTTCTCCTCCCCAAGTCTTCATCTTCTTTGTTCTTTCTCTCTTGGATGAACCGCATAATGAAGAGGAGGATTAGGGTTTGTCATTTTTATAGTTAGCTCATCCCTACTTTCTCTTTTACCCCTCAAGACTTAATACATTACCTCTAAGATCTCAATGCTTATAATTACCTCCCTTATGCTTAGTTATTTTCTTTAATTTGTGCCATCTAATATGTTTCCCCTAAGTCATATTAAAAATGCACTTAAAACAATTCCATGAAAGTCTACAGTATTATTTATTTGGCAACTTAAGAATAAAACAATTAATTAAATATAATAATGGAACATTGGGCGTTACATGTTAATTATTTTTGTAAATTGTGAGCTATTTTCAAATTTTTGTTATATTTATGAATTTAGGGACCCTTTTTTTCTTTTTGCCTTACGCCCAAAATATGACAATATTGTTTTTTTCATTAGTCTTTACTTAAGAAATCTTTCAAATGTGAATTATAATGAGGTTTCTAACCGATTTTTTGTTGATGACAAGTCTTTGTAATATGAGTAAGTCGACAACTCACTGCCTGATATGATTATTATGGTAAATTACTCTTTTGATGTTGAACATATTGCCGATCACCATTATTTCGTTTATGATCCAATGTCCAGTTCCACACCTTGAGTTCTTGATAAGGATCTTGTCCTGTTGTCCATACTTGGACTATTGGATTGAAGAAAGTTCATTATTGATGCTATTGCGGACGTCATAAAGGTCAAAGAATTGGTCATTCCGATTATGAAAATCTTGAAGCGAGGTCCTTATGTTCCATGTTCCAAACTTTAACCGATTGAATTTGAGTTTGTTTGCACTCATATCCTTTGTCGACTAATACTATCTCCTTCCCTATGATCTGTGATTCAATTTCAATTGTCGTATATTGTCCATTCTTAATGTTTGCCAATGGCGATAAACCCCATGGTCGTCGTCGGTCGTCGCCACCATCAACCTGTTTTGTATAATGGGATTTTATCACCCATACACATTTCTACGAGCTTCTAATAAATTCATGTACAAAATTTTAAAATGAAGCATGAATTTAGTACTTGGGATTTTGTCACCCATTGGTAGGCCATTGCTTCTTTGGAAAGGGACTTTTCATGACATTATCTTGAGTCAACATTCGTTTATGTTGTAGACCAAGAACGCCAAATGGTTTCAAACCATCCCATTTACCACATTAGAGTTAATTTAGTTACATGATGTGACACTTGGTGTTGTCTATTTTCTTGTCTTGAACACATGTATATGTTTCAAGGACATGTCTTTTTCTTTCAATGAACTTCAAATTCCCTTTCACCAAACCTAAAAGGATCAATGATAATTTCAATCCGAAATTGACTATAAAGTCATCAGTTTATTTACAATTGGTATAAGATATAAAAAGTTTAGGTCTGTTGTAAAGATGCATTATTTTCATTACAGTTTAAAATACAATTTAGAGAAATCTCTAATGCTAAAATGCCATGTAAAAATATTTTCTTGTAAGATAAATAAATGGCGATAATTTTATATTTTTTTAATGCACACTTCAAGTACAAAACTCTTTTCATTTATTATTTTAAAAAGTAATTTAATGCTTTCAAATGTTATCAATTATTGTTATAAATCATGCTTATTTTTAATAATGTAGAGTATACGTGGCAAAAGAAGCAAATCTGACGAGTCACATAAGCATTATACAATACTTAATATATTTTGCTTAATCTAGAAATAATTAGTTAATTTTACTATAATTGTTGAAACAAAATTGCTGATTAATACTATTATCTCTTATAAATATAACAATAAAAAATAAATAAATATTTGAATGAATGTAGATTTTTGTTAATATGCTATTAAATATAGATATAGGAGAAATGAAATATTATATTATATTATATTATATATACTATATATATACGATGATTACAGGAATATAGAAAAATACAGATCCCTATATATCAGCTTTCTCTCTCCTCCGCGTGTTATCAGATCGTCTGTCTCGCCACTCTCGTCTTCAATCTCATCACGTTCGTTGTCACAACGTCACCAAGTCTCTCTCTCTCTCTCTCTCTCTCTCTCTCTTCTAACAATTTACACACACACACACACACATAGTACACATAAAGAGACATCGCAGAGAAAGGGGCGGAGGGCAGAAGGTTGACGGAAGGTGGTGGAGCAATGGCGGGAAACGATTGGATAAACAGTTACTTGGAGGCGATACTGGATGTCGGACCTGGACTTGACGATGCTAAATCCTCGCTGCTCCTCCGTGAGAGAGGCCGTTTTAGTCCGACTCGCTATTTCGTCGATAACGTTATCGGCTTTGATGAAACCGATCTCCATCGCTCTTGGGTTAAGGCAAGTTTTTTCTTTTTCGTTTTTCAGTTGATCGATACATACACGCTACTTGTTTTTGTATCTGTATATGTCGATGCAAAAAATCAATCAAATCACGGGGTGTGCGTTTTTGCACTGTGTCTGTATCTTGCTCTGTTTTTGTTCTCAATTTGAAATTGGAAATGATTGTGTGTATATAGGGCACAAGCGACGAGGAGTCCTCAAGAGAGGAACACTAGGCTTGAGAATATGTGTTGGAGGATCTGGAATTTGGCTCGACAGAAAAACAGGTTTTTATTCCTTCAATTCGAATGTTTTCTCTGCTAATTTCTTCTCAATTTCCCGAATCTATACCAAAAAAAGGAGTAGAATGTTTAATTCAACCGACAATTGATTCAATTTTTACGTTCTCATTCTTGTTTGTTAGCTTGAGAGCGAGGTAGCCCAAAGAATGACCAAACGTCGCCTTGAGCGTGAACGTGGTCGCAAAGAAGCTGTGGCTGATATGTCAGAAGACTTATCAGAAGGGGAGAAAGGAGACACCATCACTGATGCTTCTGCTCATGGTGATAACAGCAACAGAGGCCGTTTACCTAGAATCAGCTCTACAGATGCTATGGAGGCATGGGCTAATCAACAAAAGGGGAAAAAACTTTACCTTGTACTCATAAGGTAAGCTATCCCTAATTCCCTAATTCCATATCCACAATCCATTCATTTGGCTTTTAAGTGTTAACAATCTTTATAAAAGCTTTTGAAAACCAAATTTCTTGCAGTCTTCATGGTCTTATACGTGGTGAAAACATGGAGCTAGGGCGTGATTCTGATACAGGTGGTCAAGTAAAGTATGTGGTTGAACTCGCAAGGGCTTTAGCTTCAATGCCAGGTGTCTATCGTGTGGATTTGCTGACTAGGCAAGTAGCATCATCTGAAGTAGACTGGAGTTATGGTGAACCAACAGAAATGCTATCACCACACAATTCAAATAACTTAACAGATGAAATAGGTGAAAGTAGTGGCGCGTATATAATCCGTATTCCATTCGGACCAAAAGACAAATATATCCCTAAAGAATCCCTATGGCCTCACATACCCGAATTTGTTGATGGAGCACTTAGTCATATCATCCAAATGTCAAAAGTTTTGGGGGAGCAAGTAGGTGGGGGCCACCCTGTGTGGCCTGTAGCAATCCATGGTCATTATGCAGATGCAGGTGATTCAGCTGCTCTTTTGTCTGGTGCCCTAAATGTGCCTATGCTTTTTACTGGTCATTCTTTAGGGAGAGATAAGTTGGAGCAACTTTTGAGACAAGGGAGATTATCTAAAGATGAAATAAATGATACGTATAAGATAATGAGGAGGATTGAGGCTGAAGAGTTGACTGTTGATGCTTCTGAGGTTGTTATAACTAGTACAAGACAGGAGATTGAGGAACAATGGAGGTTGTATAATGGGTTTGACCCTGTTCTTGAAAGGAAGCTTAGGGCTAGGATTAGAAGGAATGTGAGCTGTTATGGAAGATTCATGCCTCGTATGGTTGTAAGTGACAAAACTTTCTTTTATTCTATTTATGTAGATGTTAAGTGGCTCTATCTTCCAAATTTACCGTTTTGACCTCATATTTGTACATATTAAGTAGTGGTGTGTTACATTTGGTTGAATCATTAATAACTTAAGCTACTTGTAGGTGATTCCACCTGGAATGGAATTCAATCATATTATCCCACATGATGGTGACATGGATGCTGACATGGAAACAACAGAAGATCGCCAAGCTTCTCCGGACCCGCCTATCTGGACAGAGGTCCACTTCATTTCTCATTAATAATTTTTATTTATAATTTTTAAAAATCATCTTTCCTCAATATCAAAACTCCAAAACACATGCAGATAATGCGATTCTTTACAAACCCACGAAAGCCTATGATACTTGCACTTGCTAGGCCAGACCCAAAAAAGAACCTTATAACTTTGGTCAAAGCATTTGGGGAATGTCGCCCGTTACGTGAGCTTGCAAATCTTGTACGTGTAAAGTTTACCCTAACAAGGGTATTTTGGTAATTTTGTTATTTTGGATATAATTTTTTTGGTTTGATTTTACATTTTACAGACGTTAATAATGGGTAACCGAGATAACATTGATGAGATGTCAAACACTAGTGCTTCCATGCTTCTTTCCATTATTAAAATGATTGATAAATATGATCTTTATGGTCAAGTGGCATACCCTAAACATCATAAGCAAAGTGAGGTCCCTGATATCTATCGTTTAGCAGCAAAAACAAAGGTAAAATTTTATGAAGAGTTAAATAATTATGTTTCAGAAATAAATGTTAAATCTTGTGTTGCTTTTGTTGGCAGGGTGTTTTTATTAATCCAGCTTTTATAGAGCCATTTGGACTCACATTAATTGAGGTTAGTCGGTTACCTTACCTTCTGAGTTATGATATATATAGCAATTAAGGTATCAAGTTTTTATAATATTTAGTATAATTTATTAAGTTTCTTTAAACAGGCTGCAGCTCATGGGCTACCAATGGTTGCCACAAAAAATGGAGGCCCTGTGGATATACACCGTGTAAGTTGTATTTCTTTCATAAAAGCATAACAGGTTGTAAAAGACGGAAATACCCTTTTCATTCTTATTACTGGAAATAGCTCTAGTGACAAGACAGCTTGTACTGTGTTTGACTTGCATTGGACTGGGACATGAACTCCCTTTTTAGATCTCTCATTTGTGCAAAAGACGTAAATGCCCTTTTTAATCTATTGTAGGTACTTGACAACGGTTTACTTGTCGATCCCCATGATGAAAAATCCGTTGCAGACGCGTTACTAAAACTTGTAGCAGATAAACAACTTTGGTCAAAATGTAGGTCAAACGGGTTAAGAAACATCCATTTATTTTCATGGACCGAACACTGCAAAACTTATCTTTCAAGAATTGCAAGTTGCAAACCAAGGCAACCCGGGTGGCTAAAAAATGGCAATGATAATGATGATGATGATGATGATGATGATGAAAATTCAGAAGCCGAATCACCAAGTGATTCTTTAAGAGACATGCAAGACATATCTCTAAACCTAAAGTTTTCAATGGATAACTACGAAGATCAAAAGGGTAAAATAGAGAACGCAGTCATGTCGTATTCAAAGGGTGTCATGAAAGGAGAAAAAACCGACCAAGGGAAGTTCCCGGCGTTACGAAGGCGTAAGGGTATTTTCGTAATTGCGGTCGATGGTGATGACATTGGTGTTATTTTTGAAAATGTTAAGAAGGTTTTTGAGGCGGTGGAGAAGGAGAGGACTGAAGGTTCTATTGGGTTTATATTGGCTACATCGTTACAGATGGCGGAAGTTCATTCGTTTATGGTTTCGAAAGGGTTAAATTCGTCCGATTTTGACGCGTTTATTTGTAATAGTGGGGCCGATCTTTATTACACGTCTTCTCATAGTGAAGATAATCCGTTTGTGTTTGATTTGTATTATCATTCGCATATTGAGTATAGGTGGGGTGGTGAAGGGCTTAGGAAGACTTTGCTTAGATGGGCGTCTTCTTTTGTTGACAAGAATAAAAATGGCCAACATGTTGTTACGGAAGATGAAGCGGTTTCAACTGATTATTGTTACGCTTTCAATGTTCACAATCCCGCACTCGTAAGTTCATCCATCACTTCAGCAGAACAAAACATGACATGACATGACAGAACACTGAGACTGATGTGAATGAGACAACATTACACCCAAAAGGTGGGATAGGGACTGACGTCTTTTTCACACCTTTTTGGGTGGGCCCATCAGTACAACTTGTTCTGTTTTGTTCAGTGTAATAAATGAGGCCATTATTGACTTGTATTTTTATTGTTGTAGGTTCCTCCGGTTAAGGAACTTCGGAAGATGATGAGGATTCAAGCTCTTCGTTGTCATGTTATTTATTGCCAAAATGGGAAGAAGATAAATGTTATCCCGGTATTGGCATCTCGTTCACAAGCCCTCAGGTAAAGTGTTGTTGTCTGGATAAATGATGTTTAAAAAATATTAACAAAAAGGGAAGTAAAGAAATGAACATGAACACTTAAAATGGAAAAAAATAAAACGTATTTCGTTGTATTAATTAAAAATACTATATGTGATTTTTAGGTATTTGTATCTACGATGGGGAATGGAGTTATCGAAGGTGGTGGTTTTTATTGGAGAAAGTGGTGACACCGATTACGAAGGGTTTCTTGGTGGTGTTCATAAGTCGGTTATATTGAAGGGAGTTAGTACCAATAATAGCAACCTACTTCATGCCAATAGAATCTACCCTCTTTCAGACGTGGTCCCCACAGACAGCCCTAACGTTATTCAGACAACCCAAGATTTTACCAGTGCTGACATCCGCACAATGTTGGGAAACCTAGGAGTTCTCAAAGGATAAGAATTTGATGTTTTTTTTTTGGGAAATATGAACTTTGTATGTACAGTTCGGGAGCTGGAATGGCCGGATCTTGAGAAATAAAGCTATGGCAAAAGTTGTACCTTATGCATTGAAACTTATACCTTCTTTTTGAATTGGAATTTTAATTTTGGAATTAAAAAATATTTGTTTGACCTTGAAATGGGAATATCATTGATATGAAAGGCGTCTATCTTGCAAGCTAAGTTTGAGTTGGCTTGAGGGAAACCATGTAGTTGTAGAGATTAATAGTTTATGGCCAAATGGTGCAAAGATAGCCAGATAGGTCATCTATTTTCCACCTACAAATTGGGTTTCTTTCTGATGTATTAGATGCATGTAATAAAGACGAATGTTGACAAAATACATGGAACTAATGTTGGTTTATAATAGGAATACATACATAGTTTTTACCGTTATCTATCTTCTATCTATTTTTTGTAATAATAAAAACATTATACTAGATTGTTTAAGAAAACATTTTTTTTGTTACTTGCTTCTGATATCAAGGTAAGATTTTTTTTTTGAGCACCTAGTTTATAAACTAGCAAGAAACTAACAAAATAAACCAATTACATAATTTCTTTCTTATCAATTTAGTCACTGAATTATTATCTTTTTTTTAAAATTTAGCAGATTACTATTATTATAAAAATCATTAAAAACAATAGTTCAATTGTTAAATTAATAAAACAGAAAAGTTCATTTTGTTTTGTTTTTTTCTTTTTGTATTTTGCTCTTTCTTAAAAACAATGTAACTCGAACAAAAGTTTTTTTTTTTTTTAAATAAAAAAAATATAATAGTCTAATCACTACAAAAAAAACATAATAGCTACATCAATAAAAATACCAAAATATAACAACTTTTGTATGTTGCCCTTTTATCATATATAAGTTCAAAAAACTATGTACCATTAAATATCACTATTGTTTTACGATCGACCTTTTATGTCGACTGTTCAAATGGTACAGTTTGTCATTTAAAAAAAAATCATATATTATTTATGCTTGCTTTGATAATTTTGGCTCACCATAGCGAAATTTAATTAGTGACAACTTGTGTTCTTTTATTTATTGCTATATCTTTGTTATAATTAATTGGTCACCCACATTTCAAATCTAAAATTTTCAAATAATTGAATGAATTCTAGTGAGACGAGCAAGTCCAACGGAGTGGCAATAAAGTTAGGTCAACTTCTAAACCCAAACTTCTTTCACTGGCCATCAATTCATGGTCAACCATTTATGCCCACAAGTAACCATCAAACATTCAAAACTTGATAAGCATATGTTCACATATATATTATAGTAAGTTACAGTTTTGGTCCCTTTGGTTTGGTCAGATATGCAAGTTTCGTCTAACCTTCAAAAAAATTAATAGGGACCATTCATGTGGTTTTGAGAACATTACACATGTGGTCCTTCATCTACCTTTTTTTTTAACGCAAACTTAATCTACTTCCAAACTACCATTTGACTTCACTTATGTCCACGATCAGACTTGAACATAAACCACAATGAGAAAGGACAACACTTGATGATGCTTGGCTACAACCCTTTGGTAAAAAACAATCTTACTCTTTTCATTTTTTTCTTTCTGTGTTACTTACTTATATTAATTAAAATAAAAAATAAAAAAGAGCTTATTAACTCACCCCACCCCTACCTCTCCTTCACCGCCATCTGCCACCCCCTTACTTATCTTCGGGTATGAGGTATCAAATCAAATACTTGATATCGTTGTTTCATGGAATTAATATTCCAAACAACGGGCCCGCTATTTCTCATTTGTTCTACGCCGACGATGCGATCTTCGTGGGAGATTGGTCGATTGCAAATTTCTCAAACCTTGCTCGTATTCTCCGTTGTTTTCATGCAGCTTCCGGTCTTAAGGTCAACTTTCATAAATCTAAGGTGTTTGGGATTGGAGTCTCCGGCAATGAGATCACTAGTTGTGCGCGGTTTCTTGGCTGTGAGTAGGGCTGCAAACCAGCCGATCCGAGCTCGAGCCTGACCATGCTCGGGCTCAGCTCGTTTAAATATTTATAGGCTCGAGCTCGAGCTCGGCTCGTTTCGAGCCTTGTGGTACAAAGCTCGAGATCGGCTCGTTAAGAATTGTACGGGCTCGGGCTCGGTTTGGGCTCGGCTCGTATACGGTATACTCTAATTTCCTAAAATGGTATTTATTAAATTATTATTTATTTTAATATAAAAAAATAAAAATAATTTTTTAATTATATATATATATGTAGTCTCGTTTAGGCTCGCGAGCCTAATCGAGCCAAGTAACATGGGCTCGAGCTCGAGCTCGTTTAATAAACAAGCCTAATATTAAGCTCGAGCTCGGCTCGGGCTCGTTTAAAATCGATCTCGAGTCGAGCTTTTAACGATTCGATCTCGAGTAGCTCACGAGTAGCTTGATTCGTTTGAACCCCTAGCTGTGAGGCTACCAGTTTTCATTTCAAGTATTTGGGGGTGCCACTTGGGGCCAATATGGCTCTCAAAAGGAATTGGCAACCGATTGTTTAAAAGGAAGTGGCTAATATAATTTCCGCCGTTTAAAAAAAAAAAAATAATAATAAAAAATAAAATAAAAATACTTCATCTCCGACAACTAAAAACAACTTATACACAGCACATCACTTTAGTGGTCTCCATTGATATCCATAAATGGGCTCACTCACCATGGTCAACAAATCCTATTTCTTGGTGGGCATGCGCCTACAACATTAAACCATCAACATTTAACAACACTTGTCACACTTTCCCAAGTATCGTCTTACCAATACTTCTTACCAATACCATTAATGAAAACACCACTCTTTCTTCCCTTTTATCATATTTCTCTTTTTCCGATAACATCCAGAATTTCCCAACAAAATTCATAACCACCACATGTAAAACACACACTCTAGATTCAAAATGACTGAAAAAAATATCCAAATCAGTAAACCGCAAATAAGATTATTAGATTAAGCAGCAAAGCAATGGATACCGATTTTAATATTTATTTATCCCAAAAAATGGTTTTCATATATCCCAAAATAAAGCCATAGCTCTCGAGTAAAGTTCACCTTTCTCCTTTTCATATGAAGCCAGAAATAAAGCATAATATACTTCCAAATGTACTTTTATATTGGCTCATATGAGGAATTTCACAGTAACTGATGGGTTAATGCAAAACCCTAAATTTTTGTTGTTCAATGGAAAATAATATTCATATAAGCATAGTGAGGTGTAAATAATGCACCACTTGGAAGTGGTCCCACATTGAACATATGTATAATTTTGTTTTCATAAACAATGGTCCGCAATTACAAAATGAGCTCGTGGAGAAACCCACATCTTCTAGATTAGCCGTCGGAAATTGCTCAAATTCGCTAGAGGAGGCTGATCTGCTGAGTTTGTATGTGCCTTTTTCTTTTCGAAGTTTATTACCTGTTTTTGCTCACATCTCCCGAAATTACTCAGATTTGCCGGAGCTTTAAATGTTGGAGTTTGATACATGTTTTTGAGCTTTTTTTGGTGTGTAAATGTTGGAGCTTTAGATGTTTGTGTTATTTAAATGTTTATTTAAATTTCTCAAAGCGGATGAAATTGTGCTTTGAGTTTTAATGGTTGTGCTTTAATCGCATTTATTTTTAGATGTATGAACTTTTTTATCTACCTCATTAAATGCAACATGAAAAGTATATCCAACTTTGCTAAAGTGATGGTGGAAACGAAAATGCATTAGTTTTTCCTTTGATTTATCGATTAATGAAGTTGGCATTGGTTTTGCCAGTGGCAACCGCAACCGCAACCGTAGAGATATGGTTTTGGGTTTTCTACATTGAAGCTTGTGGAGTCGGATTTGCACAATCAAATATCAGATTAGGTTTTACGTGATTGTGTAATTTGTGTGGTTGAAAAATAAGCATTTTACAAAGTTACAAATGAGCATGCTAGGAATCATTCCAAATTATAGCACATCGAAGGGAACAGTTATAAAAATAACATGTAGTTCAAGGTTTTAATGTTATTTTACTTTTTATTACTTTTAACTTTTTTTAATTAGTTTTTATTTTTATTTTAATTTATTTATTATATTCATTATATAGTGGACTCCGGTTGACTTTGTGTAACGTCCCGATTTTCATAATAATATTTTTTTTTCATTTGTTCAATTAAATAAGAGTATACTTAATTTATGCGGAAAAATGATGTCAATGTATGTGTGTACAATCAAACCTTGCCCTTCTCACGATCCGAAGAAGTATTTGGAAACATTTATAATCAACTGGGTACGCCCGAAGCTTAGTGAGTTTCCCAAAATATCATCTATCACAATACATATACATGCATATATCGAGTAGCTAGGCTTACAATCGCTTAAGTTGCTATTGTCATTATCTAGACTCACAATCGCTTAAGTTGCTATTGTCATTATCTAGACTCATAATCGATTAAGTTGCTATTGCCATCACCTCGACATTTGAGTATCTAGGCTCACAACCGCTTAAGTTGCTATTGCCCTTATTTAGACTCACAATTGCTTAAGTTGTTATTTCCCTTATTTAGACTTATAATCGCTTAAGTTGCTATTGCTATCAACTCACCTCGTGGCCTTCAGCGTAGAGCTGGCCCACCCACATCTTGACCTTTCGCACGAAGTGGGAATGCCTCAGCCTTTTACAGATCATATAAACAAATAGAATTACATGCATTAACCCATCTCTCGGTCTTATAGCAAATCAAAACCTAATAGCATACTAGGCCAACTACATCCAAATAATTTAAGTACAATGACATTAGACACATAGAGACTATACTATCGCTCTACTTTACTAGCTCATATATCCTAACATACATGAATATATATTATAATACATAGTAGAGTGAGGTAACTCACCTGATTGGGGTAGAAGATCATCGGGAAGACAACTCTTGGGCTAATGCTTCAACTTATCTCTTTTAAACAACCTAGGTATGAATATTATTGTGCTTCAGTAATCGTTTGTATTTATACTATTTCCTGGATTCCTCAACAATCTCAATGAATACATCGAGATCTGTCAAATAAGGAACAACCAGGTAAGATCATATCGGATGTAGGGTTCGTTTGGTATACAGAGTATACTGTTTGGAAATCCCACTTTAAACACCTCAGTAAATCTAGCCTAAACATCATTCCCGTAGGTAGATCAATCAGTATTATGACTGGAATCACTGATAAATCTTATTTATACATTCATAATAACGACT